TTGTTTCGTGTTGTGTTGTTTCGTGCTGTTGTTTCGTGCTGAGTTGTGATGTTTCGTGCTGAGTTGTTTTGTGTTGTTTCGTGCTGAGTTGTGTTGTTTCGTGCTGTTGTTTCGTGCTGTTGTTTCGTGCTGTTGTTTCGTGCTGTTGTTTCGTGCTGTTGTTTCATGCTGTTGTTTCGTGCTGTGTTGTTTTGTGTTGTTTCGTGCTGAGTTGTGTTGTTTCATGCTGTTGTTTCATGCTGTTGTTTCGTGCTGAGTTGTTTCGTGTTGTTTCGTGTTGTGTTGTTTCGTGCTGTTGTTTCGTGCTGAGTTGTGATGTTTCGTGCTGAGTTGTTTTGTGTTGTTTCGTGCTGAGTTGTGTTGTTTCGTGCTGTTGTTTCGTGCTGTTGTTTCGTGCTGTTGTTTCGTGCTGTTGTTTCATGCTGTTGTTTCGTGCTGTTGTTTCGTGCTGTTGTTTCGTGCTGTTGTTTCATGCTGTTGTTTCGTGCTGTGTTGTTTTGTGTTGTTTCGTGCTGAGTTGTGTTGTTTCATGCTGTTGTTTCGTGCTGTGTTGTTTTGTGTTGTTTCGTGCTGAGTTGTGATGTTTCGTGCTGAGTTGTTTTGTGTTGTTTCGTGCTGAGTTGTGTTGTTTCGTGCTGTTGTTTCGTGCTGTTGTTTCGTGCTGTTGTTTCATGCTGTTGTTTCGTGCTGTGTTGTTTTGTGTTGTTTCGTGCTGAGTTGTGTTGTTTCATGCTGTTGTTTCGTGCTGTTGTTTCGTGCTGTTGTTTCGTGCTGTGTTGTGATGTTTCGTGCTGTTGTTTCGTGCTGTGTTGTGATGTTTCGTGCTGTTGTTTCGTGCTGTGTTGTGATGTTTCGTGCTGTGTTGTGTTGATTTGTGCTGTGTTGTGTTGTTTTGTGTTGTTTCATGCTGTGTTGTTTCGTGCTGTGTTGTGTTGTTTCGTGCTGTGTTGTGTTGTTTCGTGCTGTGTTGTGTTGTTTCGTGCTGTGTTGTGTTGTTTCGTGCTGTGTTGTGTTATGTTGTTTCGTGCTGTGTTGTGTTGTTTCGTGCTGTGCCTTGCCTGCAATCTCTTGCCTGCAATGTGTATTGTAGGCCTACAGTCTGAAATAAAAGATCATTGATGTCACACAGTGTACCATGGCTTTTACCCCAAGATCTCACTGGGATTATATTGCAATAAAACATCCGTAAAGGACCATAAATATAACACAGATTAATCTATTAAAGACTGAAGACCCTATTGCCAAGCACACCATTCTCAATCAATATAAGGGAAGGGAATTCTGGGAGTGATGTGATCAGGGGAGCATCATTTAGTGCTTTGATCAACATGGCAATCAAATTCTCTCAGCTAAAGTCCATTTCAGGATTTCATCAAATAGATAATCCAGTATCTTTAATAAATGGACTTCAACCACATGTATAATTACCACAGTATCACTGAGAACATCACACAGAATTTACAGCTGAAACCAATGAAAGCCTGTGTCAGTGAAGACTTTTTGCTGTTAGAAACCATTAGGCTGAATCTTACATTAGTTGTCTCGCAGGGAACAACCCTAAAATCTTCAGTGGTTCAGTAATGAGACAATTTCCTACGAAAAGGAAACCCCTTTATAAGAACTTAAAGGCCTGTGTGAGCGGCCCAATGGTGCCTCAGTGATAGCAGGGTGGCTTAAACCAGTCAGAGCTGTCAATCATTCAGCTCTCCACCATTCTACAGCTTTGTGGGAACTCGGCTATTGACCCATCTCAAGCTGGCAGCGGTGACAAAGCAGCCGGCATGTAGCACAAAAGACACTCTCTGGGCTCAGACTCCCACTAACAACCAGTTATTTACACCCTCAGAATGAGACTGGGACTGGCCTCTCTCCAAATTACTGCTGACTAGAAAGGCTCTTTCATGACATCATCGACCCTCTTACCGTACACCCAGTCTCCCTTTCAAAGGAGAAAAGGGACGCAATCTACAAAACTATTCACACAATGGTTTGCATGTGTGTTAATGTATATTTTTTTTTAGAGTATGTGATTCGAGTAAAGTGCCTTTAACCCACAGAATCCACATACACAACAAAAACAGGGTCAAACATGTTAAGCAATTGATTTGTTTCTAACATTAGATTTTGAATAGATCTCTTCCATTACGCCACTCCGCTGGGCCTTTGTGTTTAAGGTGCCTGACGATTGTGTTGAAGGTTTTAAAAGGATGCTTTTGAGTGGACTCTGAATAGACAGGCAAACCACACAGGATGTCTGTGCAGGTAATCTAGCATTTCAAGTTAATGTTATGCTGTGTCAATGCTGTCCTGAGATCAGTCGTAAAGGTGGCCATGTTAGAGGCTGAGATTCGAAATGTCATTATTAGAAAAACACCATAGAAAAACAACAACTTTGAAGCAGACACTATAGAATAATCCTCACTTTTCTAAGGTTGGAAATGCACATAACATACTCTGGCAAACTGGAATGTACTCATTAAATAGTAAAACGTAATCAAGATCCTAAGATTTCTTATGTAATCACCAAAGTTGTCTTAATTAGGCACTACCAGCTGTGCATTTGAATTCACCTCCAATGTTCAAATTAGCAATGCATCAAGAAGATGTGCTAATGTATTCAGGAACGTCAGAATTAATTTGTAAATGGTGAGAGTGATGCAGAATATTTTTTTGACAGAGTGATAAGTGCACTTAATGTCCTCAATGTCTAATAGACTACCCTGGACTCATTATTATTCATAGATTTTCATGGATATTTATGAACATTTATATGTTCGGATATGCGCTAAAACTCACAATATGGACATACAGACAATATGGATACAAATATTTATATGGAGTGACTATAATTTTAGTTACAATATACTATTATATAGATATTTTTTCCATTACTGCTTGAATTGATGGCAGATGTGATTTTGAAAATATTGTCAGAGCAGCGCAGTTCATCTCTAAATATTAGAAATATGACAAGGTTGACAACCACAATCCATTTAAAAGGACAGTAAGTAACTGCTGTTTTTTGATGGCTCATTTCTTCATTGTTCAAGGTTCACAGTCTACTCTGTGCCCATTAAAACAAAATAACTGGACCCTGGTGTATTAGGCTTTTATCCTCAGTTATCAATGTCATATTTACATTATGCCCCACTAGCTCAGCTCGCCAAAAAACGTCCAACAGCAAAAATAAAATCTGCAACATGGCTTACAGATTTGCCAGACCCTTCGTAAAACCCTTGACCTGAGCTGTACAACAATACTGTGGTGTAATATTACATCCTCTATAACGAGGACCCTTTTGTACAGATATGTGCACAGTGTTTTTACAAATATTTACATGGTATAACAAATGTCCTATGGCTTTATACTGCAATTATTTTTGACTCAATATCTGATGTAAACGTCAACACTTCATCAAGAACTACCTCAGGTGAAGAGACGATAGTGGACACATTGTTTTTTTCTCGAGCAACACAAGGTGGAAGGGAGGAAGCTAAATTAGGCCAGACTCTAAATATTTCACAAGCCCTCATTCATTATTGACTAACGGCTTCGCCCAGCTGGAAGATTAGAAATCAAATCTCTCTCCAGTCAACGATTAGTTCCCTCAATTCTCCAAGCACATACACACTTACAACCAAGAAATTCTTCTGTATGATGACATTGCTGTAAAACTGTAGGCAATAGGCTACCCCAATCCTAATTTAAAATAATATTTTAACATAGTACATTTAACCCTTCTATAACATTCTACAGCACACTGTAGAATAAAAAGACAAAACAAGGTAACACTTTAGAATACTGTTCCATCCTTAATTAATAACTACAGAGGAACAAATGAGTAACGCATTCTAGTACTGTTAGCTAACAAGAAACTCTGATTAACTAATTAGTAAGTAATAGCGCTCAATTGAATGCGGTAGTTCAATATTAACTAATCAATAACTACTTTTTTTCATACCTCCCAGAGAACTACTATATGGTTCATGATTAATGTGAATAATGCACATTAATTAATTCCTTCTAAAGGATTTGGTAAAACTTGAGTCATCACTAGTAGGTTACCATGATCTTCACTTCAGAATTGTGCATTATTCACTGCATTAATTATGAACCTGTATATAGAGGTTATTAGTATTCCTCTAAAAAAAATAGCAGTTATTGATTAGCTAATAATGAACTACCACATTCGACTATAGCACTACTTACTAATTCGTTAATCAGAGTTTCTTGTTAGTTAATAGTAGTTAGAATGTTAATATTACTCTTTTGTTACTGTATAGTTATTCATTAATGATGGGACAGTATTCTACGGTTTTATCCAAAATAATAATAATAATATATATTACTTTCGGCCAGTAATAAATTATATAAAACTGCAAAATGTAAAATAAATGGGAAAATTAGCAGCAACCTGATAATTTACTAAATAAACTTTCTTCTACCTCATCTAAACCTTTTAAGGTGTTTTGAATCTTGATTATGTTCTTATACTATTCAATGATCCAAAGAATGATGCCTTCTCATAAGTTACTTTGAAAATGACCACTCTACCAGCTAAACAAGTAAAAACAGCAAACCAAAATCGATCACTAATAATTACAGCTGCAGTGGTCATTGGTATTGCTGCTTGTCAGATGATAGGTTCATCGCAACATCCCTTTATTTTTTTCCTCGGTTTTAATAACCACTGTAGCCACATTAGATTAATGGCCGACTATGAAATGAATGTTGGATCAGATTTACTAGAGAGTTTATTCGCCCACGGTTCAGTGATCAGTTAGCTACTGTAACACATCATCTCAAAATGGCTGCCCTTATGAAATCCTGCAGATGAGGTCAAACACTCAGATAAACACAACGCACGCAAGCGAAAAACAATATTTAGACACACAATAAAAGTGATGATCTATAAACTTGAGTCTTTTGAGAATTATTAGCGATTTAACTGCTGGATGTCCGTCATGGAAGCACTGGGGCTCAGATGCATGGGTACTTACTGGTTGTGTTTCCTGACATCTGGATGATGCACTTGGAATCTTTACCGATTTCACGAGAGTTGAAGGGCCGAACTCTCACCGCCACCTTCACCGAGGCCCCTGCCATGGTGCCTCTGTGTGTGTGCTGAGAGCACTCCTTTAAAAGCCCAGGTCAGTGCTCACACCTGCCAATAGAAGAATAGAGCATTGATGGAAAACTGATGTCAACAAACAGAAAAATGGAAGATCTATAGCTATTATATATATAGGCTATATATACAGTATGTCCGACCCTATCAGAGGATAAGGAGAATGGAATAGTATATACTATATTTCTATTTATATTATATAAATAAATAATTACACATGAAAAGATGCTTACTAATTGATTGAGACATTTTGATCAATGCACTAAAAATAATAAGACGCTCAACGTACAGTAAAATCCATATTTCTGCACGCATGTGCAGCATTTCTGAAAGTAAAGGAAGGATATTACTCATTGTGTAGTTCCATTACTAGCAGCAGATAAATATTGATTTAGACTCTTCTCCATTGGAAATTGAATTACACCTAGTTTCGGGAAAGCTGCCTATCACCATAGCAACTATGAGTATAATTTTTGCTGAATCTATTAAACAAAATGGCATGAAGGGATGAAAAGCAAACGCATGATGTCAGTTGTGACTTACAACAAGGTTAAACAATAAAATCCCAAAAATGTTTCAATATTTCAATGTTCAGACAAAACAGGGAAGGCTGTGTTTATATGACCTCACCGTAAAAGGATCATGCACGGTCAGCTACAGATCTAGAGAGATACTCGGCCGGCAGCAACAAAAGAAGTGCACGGCTGGCTAAATGTCAGTACGCTTCCTAGGATTACAATAGCCCAATAACAGAACTGGCTAACACATACTCCGAGTCCAGCTCAGCCTCTTAGTCGGACCAAAATGGAGGTTAATGTGTCTGGGGAGATTTATGGCATTTAAGCCTCAATCTTCTTTGAAGAGTTCTACTTCTGTTTATATATGTGTTGGCATCAGTAACTATGAGGTTTATTTGAATACATATAAATGAACTCATACAGAGATCTCATGTAAGCATAATTCTGAAATGGCCAATTATAAGGACATCATGCTGAGTCACATTCTGGTGTGGCAGAGTAAGTTCAGTCTCTCTCATTACTCTCCAGGTTACTTAGAGTCTTAGACCCATTGACATGAACCTCAAAGGTTGCATGTCACTTTACAAAGACATTAAAAAGCTGGGGGTTTTAGTGTTATTGAGTGAAATAAATGTTATAATACACGTATTGTGGCCGACACTTTGATTAATTAACCTATACACATCCATTCTAAACAATCTGTGATTAACATAATTGGTAAAAGAGAATTTAAGACCATGAAGGAAAAAGATCAAGCCATTTTTTTAGGTAAGAAATCTAAGAATAAAGCTCATGTATTTTGTACATACAGTGCATCACAATTAAAACTCCATTCAGATGCACATCTTCATTACAGATAAGCAGAAAGATCGATTGTACAGCATGTTGTCATGTAACCTAAAAAAAAAGTGATAATACCTAAATTAAATGCTTTTATTCAAGTCAAAATTATTATCTAACAAGCCTTACTACAATGTTACACCAATAAAAGTAATTTTAAGGGCCAGATCAAGAACGTGTGCCTTAAGGAAATATTTAGCAGTGTAGATCATAAAATCATACATATTCAAGATTCTTTTTAATTTGCTGTCTATCATTGTGTTCCTAAGTGTTAAGCAATCTACATAAATCATTAATTGTGCCTGACATCATTTGCATAGTGCTGTTAGAACACGATTCCATAAGCGTGTGATGCCAGAAGTCATAATATTTTATCCAACTCGCGATTATATTAACTCTTATATATTAGAAATTATATATAAGAAATAAAAAGAAAAGGTTGTACTGTAAAAAAGTATAAATGAAATACTTTGCCCTGTAAATTCTCAAATCGTGATTCATTATTGTGTGCCTGCCAGCTTGAGACAATGAATGACAGTGCATTTATTCTTCCCGCACTTATATGTACACAAGGACAGATGGCCATTTATGACGAACAACATCTGTTCCATTACTCAATAAAAAAAAAAAAAAACACTTCTCTGTCATAATAATAATGTCTGGATTTGTTGACAGCTCTGAATGGCCGCACCCCACAGCAGTCCCACCCTGGTGACCCAACACCAAATAAACACACAGAGCCTCATTAATACTGCATTATCCTCTAGAACACGCTAACAATGGAAAAAAAAAAAACTCTTACCTTTCCAATGGAGACCCTCTGATGCTCTCAGCTATTGACTCTACAGATCAGCTCCAACTACTGTCTCTTGCGCTGGCTTCTCAAAATCTTTTTCTTGAGCTCTTCCTCTGATATGTCAAACACAATCTGCTTTTCCCTCTTGTTTAACAAAGGATCCTTTATTTGTTCTGGATGCCCGTTGAGGCCTGCTTGTAAGGAGGGAGGCTACTTGGAGGAGAGATCTTTGAGTGCCCTGTAATGTAGAAGCCAAAATGGCTCTGCTGGTGATGCTGAGACTGAGTGAACCAGTGACATCATCAGTGAGGAAGGCAGAAGCATCAATGCAGTAGAGAGAGAGAGAGAGAGAGGGGGAGGAGAGAGGAGGGGGGTTGAGGGGATGGAGATTAGATTCCCCACGGAGTACGGTATGCGCGCGCGCACACACACACACACACACACACACAAACATAGCATGAGATTCAGTGGCTAGTGCTGGACTGCATATGCGTGATAGATTAAAAGAAACCAAGCAGGTAGGTTTGTATCCAGTATGATTTTTAAGACTAAATAATATTTTAGATTTACGTTAATTCACCTCTAATTCTTTTGACGTAACCTCTTTCTTTGTATTTGTGAATTTAGAGACTAAAAGTAAAATGACACCAGTAAAGAAATAATTCATGTTATTAATGTATCTTAATAAAATTTCCATTCATTTTATTTGCAATTAGTTTCATTTAACAGCTATAGATTCTTAAATACTGAAGGTAAAAATGGTCTAAAATTCTAGATTATTAAAAACAGCAGTCATTTAAATTGTTATGCAAGTAAGGGGTAATTGAAAGAAAATATTAATAATAATAATAATAAAATAATAAAATAAGTAATAACATAATAAATAAAATTAAACATTAAAATAAATATGAATTAATTAGAATTCATATTAGGTCATTATTATTATTATTAATATTTATTATTATTTGACTTTTATATTTGACTTCTAAACTTTAATGTCCAACTCTTATGCTAAATAAAAATAAATTACTGAATGTAACAATTGTCTAAAATTCTAGAATATTAAAAACGGCAGTCATTAAAAATGTTATGGAAGTTTTAAATAATATTAATATTAATAATTATCAATTAATTATCATTCATATTATGTAATTATTATTATTATTATTAATAATAATGTTTTTATTATTATAGTATGACTTCTACACTTTAATGTCGAGTGCTAAAGAAAAAAATAGTTAATTCTCAGTTTTTATACTTTTTTTAATTAAGAGCCAAAAATGTATATAAACAAACAAACAAATAGATTAAACAAACAAACAAATAAATAAATACAAATAAAATGTAAAAACTACTCGAATCAAAAATGCTATAAATTACATTTTTGGAGATTATGGTTCTGCAGTATTGCTTATAAGTTAAAACATTCCACTTTTTTTTTTCATGAAAAAATATGGAATTGCAAAGAAGTGTAAATAATATTTGGCCTCTTTTGGACCTTTCCTTTGAGCTATCTGTCGAGGAAAAATCAGCTTTCAGGTGGGATTACTCAGTTCACAAACTATTAGAGAAAATTGGACTGTGCTCTCCCCACAAATCCAGTAAATCCATGTAACACATTCATAAAGGAAGCTTTTCCCACTGACATTAATCCGCCTCTATTCTTCTGACTCAGCCCCTCTTTGCATTTTCTGAATTTAGAGACTAAAAGGAAATGACACCAGTAAAGAATTATATCTCATGATTAAGTCCCATATCTTAAAATTTGTATTACTAAACAAAAAACAAGACTATGTTGAGCTTCTAATAATTAAATAATTATTTTAAGAGTACATTTAAACAATTAAAGTAATATTATTGAAGTTATATGTGAAATAGCCATACTTATGAGGGGGGAAAAGGGATTATAAAAGACTTACCCATCAGCCATTAATAGCCATCTTTTAAAGAAGATAACAGAGGTTATTATATGCATGATTTAAAGTCAAAATAGTTTTTATTTAGTGTCTCTAGCCTCTATGTGAGGAAAGAAAAACAGCGCAGCACATCAGTGCCTCTGAATGCTGTAATGATGATTCAGTGTTTTGGCCGGTTCATGTACAATAGAGGGAAGGGCACAGACCATCTATGCCACATCCAGAACATGGAAGTATCCCTTGGGTTTCACCCAAATCAGATGCAAATCAATGCAGTTTTCTAATGTCCATCTAATGAGCCGAGCAGGTCATTTACTTCATCTGGGACTTCATTTCCTATTGTCTTTGTCTTCCTTTTCATTCTATTATCTTTTGCTTGTCTATACTCTTCCTAACAACTCTTTATCTCGCCCTGTTTTGTCAACATGCCCCTTCCTCAAAAGTCTGACCACTTACACCTGTCACAATCTCAGACTCTGCAACAACACCAAGTGGCCGTTCTTGATCACTCATAAATATCCATGAATGAAAGTCATTCAGTACTATATGTGTGTGACTCACAAATATTTAGAAACGTGCATCCACAACATCACCGATGCTGCACAGTAAAGACACACACACACACACACACACACACATATACATATATACACATAGTGGGCGTGGCTTTTTTTCCAACTAGCACCTGATTGGATCTAGAAAAGTAGGTGTTTTCATTCAGCTTGTCAGTTGGAGGGGCGTGGTTACGGATCTTTTTTTTATTTTTATTTTTTATTATGCAGTAATAACAAAAAACTAATTAGGACAATAATAAACAATAAACAATACAAAGGGTTACATTACATAAACATAAATAACATTAAACTAGCTTAAAAGATTGACACCATTTCAGAGTCTTACATGCAGTGGAGTTTTTAGAGTTATTCAAAGAACTTAGATACATATCAAAATCTTTCTTAAAAATGAAAAAAGAAGGAGTTTTCTTTGAAAATTTACACTTCTTGTGAATATAAAATTTGGCAAGAAAAAGTAGCAAGTTAAGGACAAAATTAAAATGAAAGGGGTCTAATTTCAGAGAGTCACCAAAAAACACAATTTTTTGGCTAGAAGTTTAAAGATAAATACCTTTTAACAAAATTTGAGAAGTCAACCCAAAAGATTTCGCAATACACACATTCCCAAAACAAATGAATAATTGTCTCATCAAACTGATGAAGGAGCACAAGGGGGAAATACTATCATTAAATTTAGCAAATTTATAATTAACTGGGTAGCAATTGTGAATAATTTTAATAGAGACTTCACCCACATTATTAGATAAAAATAATTTGATGAAGGAGCCAGAAGTTCTCCCATACTATATCATCAAATTTATTATTCCAAAAGCTTACACAAGCAGGTAAAGAAATCTGATCTCTGTTAATGGTTACGGATGTTAAGCAGACACCCAAACTGTCAAACGTCATCAGGGAAGGTCCTCCAATGGAGAGGGAAGGGGACATTTCAGATTTTGATTAAATATTACGAAGCCAAAACATTTTTTTGTGTGGATTGACTTGCATGGATGAATTGTTCACCACAAAACGATCAATTTAGGCAAACAAAGTAAGTATGGTCAATTTTGAATTCATGGGGACTTTAAAAAGAGCACTCAGACTGCATTTATTTTATTTTTATTCACTAATTTTCTTTATATCTTTTCTCTCTCTCCCTCTCTTTTTTATTTTTTTTTATTTAAATTTGAATCGAAATGGGACAAATTCTTTGATTTACCCTGGGATACGGCTCAGACAGGAAGGCACAGCAAGCATCGAGCAACCACAGCATTCAGTTAGACACAATGCCAGTCTGAGCAGTCCCTTGTGGCTGCTTTTCTCTTCTTGTGTCTCTTTCTCCTTCCCAACCCTTCCTGCTTCTCTGTCTCAGCTCAGTAGAGCAATACTCTGAATAATTTATCCAGCTAAAGAAGCTCTGGTGTGGGCCTGATGCCTGATACCGTCTTAAAGGGACACGCTTTTAACGAGAATACTGCTACTAAAAACATGATGATAAAGGATAATACAACCTGGAGTCCACAACCGTCACACATAAACAAACCTAATCCTACCAACACACAATTCTCAGCTGTATTCTCAGTTTGAGTAATTCATTCCAAAGCCATGCTTACTTAACCCTCTTCCAAAAACAAACTTGAATTATACTTTATAAACAATCTACTTAGTGCTGGGCTGTAAACCGGTTTAAACCGAAAACCGGTTTATATTTTCGTTACAATATTGATTTTTAATAAACCGCCATACCGGTGTATTTAATTACAACGGCGGAACGAACGTTACGCTGCGCCGCGCGACAGACGGACCCTTTTGAGACGGTATTTGAGACAGGCGTCTATATGAGACAGGCCTATATAATTTAGTGTTGAGATGTTGTTCTTTGAGTGTAGGCCTAGAGTCTCTAATCTCTAAAAAATCTCCAAATGCTCCACGTGAAACTGCGGGGAGAGAGAGCAAGACAGCGCTCGTGTTGTTTGAAGACGTTAGAGTGCGCACGCGCGGCCGGAGCGCTCTCTCTCTCTCTCTCTGCTCGTGATGCGCCCTGTCAAGCGCAGCAGTCATTCTATTCTCCAACACTCACCGATCAAAAAAAGGCTTTGGCGGGACAAAATATTGCTTTGGCGACGGCCAAAAAGCGGACGATTTGACGGGTTTTATTATATTAAATACAACCCGAAACTAAAAAGTTCTGTATACATAGTTCCCACCATAGACAGTATAAGAAGTGGACAGAGCGATCTCATTGGAACTCAGTTGAGACAGTTGAAGCCCATTTTTAGCGATTTTTGAGCACTTCCGTTCCTGACGCGCAGACTCAAACCGACTCAAACTAAGCTTGATGACGTGAGCAACCTGTCTGACAGATGTTAATCTTCTAGTAGTTGTGCGTGATTATTACCAACGTTAATCTTGCAGAGACGGGGAACTTGAGCAAAGAGTTCTTTGGCGTGAGTGAGCAGGAGTAAGAATTCCGTTGCTTTTATGGACTCATTATCTATGGGCTTCTCCCTTGACGGGACGTCCCCCCCCCCCCCGATTACTTGCGAGCTTCTCCTCCTGTCTGTACGGTAATTTCTGTACAGCGCGACAGAGAGTTGAGTGGTTATGACGCAATCGTTAGCCTATTTTTACAAAATCTGTTTCTACGGGGCCATAATGTAACATAGAAGGTAATGGAGCCCTTTATACATTGTCGTGTTTCTTTAGAAATAAATAATGGACAAATGGAGTCTTTAAACGCCTCAGATGTAAAGTTATTCGCTGTCAAAGTGACGCCAAAATGAATGGGAGTCAATGGAAATGCTAACGCAAGTGAAGTTCTGCTACAAC